ACTTACTCAATCCAACAAGAGCACAAGTCCGAATCACTGAGGTCGGGATCACACACGTGTCATCACCGAATGCCGGTCGCAAAATATAGCCGGCAAAAATCAGTGCATTTGCTGCGATCCCAGCTCCACTCAGGATGAAATAGACAATCCACAGAGTGGCAAATGCGGCCATCGGACCAATTACATGATGAATGTAGATATAATCACCACCGTTCTTTGGAATTAAAATACCCATCTCGGCATACACTGCTGCGCCGAACAGGCTAAACAGACCGGTCATAACCCACATAATCAGTGATAGACCAACAGATTTCGTGTACTGCAGGACCCCGACAGGTGAAACGAATATCCCCGAACCAATCATCACTCCGACCAAAATATTGATTCCGTTCAGAATTCCGATTTTCCGTTTTGAATCTCTGGTTTCATCGGCACATTCCGAATTCTCGGTTGGTGAGGTTTCCGAACCCATTCGTGTGACAGCGAAAACAATAAACTTTGGCCATCTGTTTAACTGGGCGCATGGACACGGTTATATTTTACTGTGCTATCTATCTAACAGTCTAGACGACCACGTGGTCTGGTTTGGACTGGTCTAGTCCGGTTATTGGTCACTTATTCGCCCAGTGAATAAACGAACCGTTCTGATTGGTTCGACAAATGTCACGTGATGTGCAGGGCTTGACGCAATAGACAGGACTTTAGCTCCGACTGTCGTTGCAACCCTGTGCGTGTGTGTGCTTGCGATTTGTAGCCGGTCTATGGGCCTTAAATGCTTTTCAAATTGATTGCTTTCTCATGTACGGCTAGGGGCCACACGAAAGCTCACCTGTGTATTTATTACCCAGCATATTGCAAATAGCATGAAATCCAGGAGCTAGAACATCAATTCAATGTTATTATTATATTTTTATGAAATTGATTGTTACGTCAAACAGTAGATGGAGTGAATCCTAAGGTAATTAGAAGTTACCAAGTAAGCTGGTAGTTTTTTTGAAACCGGTAAAACAAAAATAAAACCGATTTGGATTTGCACGGGGTCACCGGAAAAATGCTCTCCTACAAAATGGAGAAATTGAAATATTCCAGATAATCTGTTTAGTAATTATTCCCTCTGAAACGATGATGTGGCTCACTTTGGATCCACAGTGAATGCGTTTCGACAATTTTCTGAGTACGGATAGATAGTTACTCTGTTCAGTTCGGATCACACCAACATTTGCGAGGAAATTCGATATGCTGACTGACACAGAGCCCAAGAGAGTTGTTTCGCCCTTGTTGAGACTCTTCAGGAGCGCTTGCCGGTTGTCCCTGCCTGGACTTGAACAGAAAACC